TTTGAAAACGCCCACTAACTTTTAGCATGCGACAGGTACATGTGCAAACGCGCACACACACACACACATCCACACTAACAGGCTGACAAGCTATAGGGTGGGCAGTAATTACAAGCAGATGTGAACCTTGAGGAGGTTCCAGGTCAGCGAAAGCAATGTATTACATGCATGCATGAAGCCAACCTGTAAAAGACAAAAAAAAAAAAGAAGAGGAAGAAAAAAAAAAAGAAGTGCTGAAAAATACTTGTGCATTCCTCTAGTTCAGTGTTGTGGCACAGAAACTCTGCTCAAGGGTCATTGAAAGCCAGCTGCAACGTTAAAGGGAAAGAAAACAAACCAGAAGTACAAAAAGTTTTGAATGTTCTTCAGTGTTGTTGTCTTCACCCTAAGTGATCTTCCGGCTCTCTGGTGCCTTCCTGCAGTATCACCACACAACATCCTTTTGTAGTCGCTGATACAACGGGGGTTTGCCAATATGCGTGTGCACATTGTTGTGATGGTGATAGTAAAGACAGATACTGGAGTGTTTTCTCATTTTTATCGCTCTCATCAATCGCCAATCTGAGAGCAGACAAACAGCGAGTGTTGGTCCAAGGTTGCAGCCTCATACTCCACTCGATATCGATAATTATTGCTTATTTTTATTGACCCAAGTTAAATCAGTTAACCCACAGAGGCATCTCCACGCGCCCCAACGTCAACTTTTAAAGCAGGCTGCTCGGCTTAGGTGAAGTAGTGAGGCACACGGGGTGGTGTGTTTTTAAACTGAGAAGCCTATCTCAACCACGGATTTCTGCGAAGAGGAGATCTGTGATTTCAGATGGGGCTGATGAGAGGCCCAGGTGGCTGCAGATTAGTGCCCCTTAGGAGACCTGCACGGAGGCCACAAGGAAGAAGGGTTAAAGGTTCAGTTATCAAAGATATGATTGGCCATTTATGCAACAGGGCGGAAACAGCAGGGAGGCTGGGGTTTGTTCATGCAACCAAGCTTTTTTCATTATTGGTTTACATCTAATGTATTTAAGTGAAACTATTGAGCATTCTGTCGAACAATATTGTTATTGTGTCGGTACATATTGGTGTTGTCTTATTGGTTTCCAGTTTCATAGGAGACCACTTAGCCATATGCACATCAAGCATCCAGTCAATAGCCATGCCAGCAGGTCTGTGAGCGAATGAGATCAATGTTGGCATGCTGACACGCTCACAACATGCTGATGGTGAGCAGGCATATATACAGTGGTCTTCATCATAGTTTAGCATTAATGTTCACATTTGCTGATTAGCACAAAAGTATAGCTGTGGTTAAAGGGAATGGAGAGAATGAGCATTCCAGCTATCAATTACATTTTCTTAGCCATGGTGGACCTAATTTTTCCCACAACACTATCGTAGCGTGAGTAATATCGCTCCACTAGAATCGGAACAAAGGTTGAATTGGTGTGATTCTTTTTGCAGCAGCACAAAAATAAAGCGTTGTACTGTCTGACACACAGGCTCTCTTCATGCACAAAACTCACTGGAGTCTTGCAAGATTTCCTCTCCGTGTTAATTTCTCAAAGCAGTGGATTAAAGGCTTTGTAACATGAGACGGGGGATTTGTCATTGTCTCCATTTGCAGCCTTATGGTGCCGTAATAAGGACGTTTCCAACAACGCTCGGGGGGGCATGTGTGTGCATACATTGCTTTGATGACACACGCGGTCACATGAGTGTGGTAGATGAGGAACCAATAACAACAACAACGGTTTTTGTCAATGTTGTTGCCACGGCGCTTCGGGCAAAGAGCGGTCATGCTGATGTCTCTCTGGTATATGGAATATTGAGCGACGGAGGGGAGGCGGAGGGGGGGGAGTCAACATGTTGTTTATTATCGAGTGCATTGTATCACGGTGCTGTCAAGGACACAAATGATCCGGAGAGGCTTTAATTTTTGTTTTAAATGCCACGACCCGTACATGTGTGTTTCTATTGTTTCTGTTTTCCGCCTCATAGCAACAAGTGTCCCTCTGCTTTCGTGTGTCTGTGTGTCTTCCAGGTGAGTTACCATAGTAATATTTCCCTCACTTCCTGGCCCCTTTTGATTTCTGTATGTATGCGTTGCCACGGAAACTGACTTTTTTTTTTTTTTTTTTTGCCTGTGGCTTTTTTTTTGTGTGTGTGTGGCGTTTGTCCCTTTTGTCTGAAATAGAGCAGAAACCACATGCTGCAGTGGCCTGTATGTCCAAATGGCATTAGTCATCTAACTGCACGGTGCCAGTCCAGTCAGCCAAATGATTAAGCTTTCCAGCGTAGCATCTGTCACATGCGAGCGCAAAAACAAAAGCAGCGATGGCGACGGCGCACCATTCGCCGGATCCTTAGCAGGAGCTTTGCATTAAGGCTTTACATAATATTTTACATAACATATGCATCCCAGCGAGCTTAAATAAGTCTCAACACCATTTGCTAAACGTCACCCTCTAAACATGTTTAAGGATTTGGACTGCAGATTTGTCTCTCTACACACTATTTAAACATTTTTTTTTACTTGAGCATTCCTAACATGCTGAGATCTGAGATAATGGATGCTTTGGCTTGAAGTTATTGTGGCTTCACGTCGGCGGGGGGGGCAGTAAATGTCTGAATGCATGGATTTTAAATGTGATTTATGGTCCAGTAGCATGTCATCCCATTAACCTCAGTGACTCTATGTATAATATAAGGTACCTCGGCTGTGATGATATCATGCGTGTGTGCGCTTTGCAGGTCATTAGCTCCACTTATATGTATGTGTATATAATAGTCGCTCTTTATCAGTTCCTGCACTTTTCCTTTAAATTCCACCATAAACACAAAATGACTTTCCGGCTTATTTGCGTCTAGTCCAGTCCTCAGATGTCTGCAAACTTGGCCGATCACCTCAAAAATGGATCCAGAATCAGTGTTTTTTTTTGCTCTATGAAGTGAAGAGCTAATGTGGAAAAGCAGCTGCACTTTCCACATATTTTGCCTCATATTGAAATTTTTCTTTGAGGTCTTTTTCCGAAGGCTTAATTAGCCTTGTTTTAAGTTATTTTTGTGCTTCTCCCTGTTGACAGAGGCTTCGGTGCAGGGCAGGGCCGGAGCTAGCCATAAAGAAAATAGATTTTTTAGTGACATGTATGGAGTTGAGTCATTATGATGCATAATGGCTGTTTTATAGACTGATGTCAGTATTTTTACACTGAAATGTTACCACTTTTGCTCTAAAATAGTGACTGTTGTTGCTTTTTCCAGAGTAGAGAAGACAAAAAAACCTGCATTTACACAAAATCTAAAGAGCACACTCTGTAAATGAACTGTTTAAATGAATTCTAATGTTCAAAAACACTAATATTTTTTAACCTGCTGTTCATTTGAAGCAGTGCTTTCCACAAAACCCCTTCGCTTTACAGTCCACTGATAATTTCAGTGTGTGAAACTGCAAAAATCACGCGTGCAACAGCTTTGGTTTGCACAAAATCTATCTTGATTGATGGCCAGGACAGTAGTGAGACATTACCCAGAGCAATGAGGCTGGATTTTTATGTGCAATCTTATCTTCTGCCCAAGTAGATGACAAAAACCAAATACATGTTTAATAAAAAAGGATTAGAACTGATCCTCGGATGAACGTTTGAGGGAATAAATTGCAGATGTGGTGTACATTTTTGACCCCTAGAAACAGACATAAACTGTCTTTTTTTAATCGTTTTGAATCCCTGCAGGTCACACAGGCGTTCACCTCACTGTTACTAGCGTCCAGCAGTGACACCAGGATTTAGTCTTACCCCCCCACCTCCATCCATCGCTTGTCTGTCAGCATTCCACAGGTTTCATAGGTTGACACTTAAGAACCGAAGCTCATCCATCCACTTCAGAAATCCCGCTGGGCGGAACCAGCTCGAGCGAGCAGAGGCCTCTTATTTAACTTCTCCAACTGTTTGTCTTTTTCTTTTTGCGTGCGTGTGTGTGTGTGTGCGCGTCCCGTCAAGCTGCGTGTGAGGTCAAGCGGGAGCCAAAAGGGTTCCCTCAGTCGGCGATAAGGAATGGCACACACTGGCGCGCACACATAAAAATACAACCAGAATGCTGCGTTAAAGGGGGGGGAGCGGTGTGCGACTTGCTTCGTTGGACTCGTGACCGGCTCACGCACACGCTCAGGTGGCTCTGCAGGTTGCCTGTGTTCACATTGTGTGTTTTCTCTTCCGTGGTAGAATGACTGGATTGAGTCGGGTCGAATAACAAGACAGTGGGAGGGATGGCTTCAAGAAAATATTGTTGATAGAGGCCCGAATCTTTCAAACTACGCCCATTCAAGAGATGAAGTTTTTAAGGCATAAACATAGATTTAAAATGCTTTTTCTCTTCAGCAGAACAAAAAAAAAGAGCACATAAACACAGACACATTAGAGCACACTTGTAAGCCCTCTGTCTGGATAAGGCATTAGATAAATTGCAGAGATGTCTCCTCTCCTCCTCGTCTCTCTCTTTCTTAACCTCTCCCTCTTCCTGACCTCTTCTCTCAGTAGACACAGAGGAATGCATGACCAGAGATTCAGATGACTCAAATGTTCATCAATGCCGTCTCCGGGTTTTCCAGCGATTCGTTGCTATCCACTAACTTGATCGCAGCTCAAGTAAAAATGCGAGATTGCTTTCTGTCTCTGTACGAGCAACATCTCCTCCTCCACGTATGCAACATGCTCCTAATGCTTTATGGCTTATGTATGGCGAGCATATTGCAGATCCATCAGTGTAATGTTTGAAGGGGGAGGTTCTTGAAAAACATGTCCTCAGTTGCTCCTTTGAGAAAAAACAGAACTTTTTCCCCCCCGAGGCACATGTTATCTGCGTCTATGAATGCTTCTTTTCCTACATTAAATAGTGAAAGCTACTAAAATTATAATGCAAACCTAATATATTGCACAGTATAAAGGCAGTTCTATGTTCTGATAGTCTTATCTTCCTCCTTGATTTAATATCCTTTCCCCTCCCAGGGTGACTTCACCTGGAGCAGCCTGTCGGGGCGGAGCGTCCGTCTGATGCCAGTTGCCATCCAGAGCCTGTCGGAGCTGGAGAGGGCCAGGCTTCAAGAAGTAGCCTACACCCGTTTACACCAAGACTACGATCTGGGATGCCAGATAACCATGCCAAAAGGTGTGTGGGGTTTTTACACAAATTGCAGACCTGAGTTTAACACTGTTGCATAATTTTTATGCCCCGGATGGGTGGGATTTACTGCTCCAGATAACATCAAGTTTTCAAGACCCTGACATTTACACGACTGTAAACTGGGACAAAATGTGTCTGTTATTTACTCCGGAACTCCTCTTGTGTTGCTACTCATGCTTCACCCAGGTTTGCTGTGTAAGCCTGCGCAGATACTTTCAAGTGTCCCATAAAGTTAAGCAAACTTTCCAGCCTCTGACCACATCCTCTTGTCATCCCTCAGGCGTCTTCAAGGGAAGTCATGTTTGGGGAAGTTGTGACAACACATGGATTTAGATGTAAACCGCACTTCACATAGGGATCGGGTGCTTCCTGTTGGACGCGGTATCTGTTGACCTCCCCTCCTTCACAGCGACACGCGACTCCCTTTCCGCTGCAGCTCAGGCCGAGCGCGCTCACTCCACCAGTCACGACTATTAAAAAGTCCTACACTTTGCAGGAAGCACGCTATATTTGTCCTTGTGGCCCCGTCTGCAAACTGTGTTTACGCTTGTAAACCAAATAATTAAGCAAATAAGCTTTTGGAAAATGACAAAATTAGACAAATTAATCCACATCTAGCCCACATGGGCAGAGCCCCGCAGTGAAGCTGCTGGAGTTGGTGGTTTTCCACTGGGCTCGCCCATGCTAAAAATGTCAGGGTTTATAGATAGAAGAGAAAATATACATAGTCCCACTCAATTTAAAGCAAAGAAGTGGGCAAAATATGACAAATTAATAGCCTTCATAGTTTTGGGTGAGTGCGAACACGGTGCACTAAAAACCAGTATATGAAAAAAATGGGACTTCTTTAGAGTAAAATTCAGGTTTCATGCGACTTGAGTAGTATTTTTGTAGATGTTCTCCTGGGACACAGGCAATCAATTCCTCTGGGATCAGAAAAGTCCCTCTTCAACCAGTGATTAAACCCCTAGACACTAATTTATATGCATCAAAGCTACATATTTAGATTTTTTTCCCCATGAAAACAATCCTTTCCTGCCTTGAAATGACTTCATTTACCTCTGGAATGTGAACATCTATGACGTCCCTGCCCATTTCTCTATCCATATCTCCGCGACAGGTTGCAGCTCGAGCACACCAGCTCACTGACAGCTCTGCTCCAACACTGTAAAACTCATCTACGCCACATATGGCAAGTCGTAGTATTGGAGGAAGTCTGCAGAAATGGAAAACCTACTCTGTTGTAATGATACAGAAAAGCTTCACCCTGCAAGTTGCCAAGATTGGTTCCTTAAGTTTGTTATGGATGAAACCATGGAACAATCTGTATTTTTAGGACTGTCATCGGTTCACTGCAGTTTTGAGGTGGAAAAGCTCAGCCGCGGTGTTGTCTGTTTATTTTAGTGTCTCCCAGCGTATAAAAAGAGCACAGGGATGTCGTACTACCAGCTGCAGAAGCGATATTATCCTAATTTTAATCCAAGTAACATCCAAAAGCACTCGATTCTACTTCGTCCCCAATGCATCTCAAAGACATTCTTCATCAGAATGTCATTCAAACTCAGCATTCCCAATTTGTAATGCAAAACTACATTTTTAATTCCCCGCTTATCTCCTATCTGCTTTGTGCAAACACAGCCAGCAGTTCAGCCAAATGGTCCCTGAATGTCTGCGAAAGTGAGATTAGATGCTTTATTTTTGGATTTTTTTTTTGTAAATAAGACAATAACAATAGAAACATTTGGATAAAATACTACAATTTTAAGTGTAGGCTGAGGAAACTGAGGAAAGTTGCATTTTTGCACTTGACAAATGTCATTGTGATGATTTTTTAAAAACAGAACATGTCTTTCAACCTCAGTGGCTGCTATTTTGCTGACCTGTGACTCCAAAAAATGATCCTCTCTAAAAATTTTCATACAATCTAAAAGTGTTTCCTTCTCAGATTAATTTATTTGAATGATCTTCTTTTAAAAAGAGCCCTGTCATGGTTAAATTATCTGATAGAACAACAAAAATCTGAAAGAAAAAGGCGCAGAAATGTACTTTGTTTTTTGCTTTTTTATCCTGTTAATTATATCACAGTATCAGATTGGTCTAATGACGCCTTTAGGTGTCCAAACCTCCACATTCGCAGCCATTGGTTTAGATCATTCGGCTCAACTGTTGGCTTGTTTTCACCGTTTACTTCCTCGACCCTTCAGATTTGGTTACAGCACCGTTCCTCTGCTTCCAGATCCCTGCAGTTTCTCCCAACAGCCAAAACTTTGACCCAAATAGTAATGAACCAGAGTTTTACTTGAACTGTCTGCATAAGATGACGTCTTGCTATTAGAATAGTCGGTCCGTGCCCGGGCAGCATTTGTTCCGCTGCACTGTATTGCAGTGGAATGGGTGCCATAGCAGCAGAATAGTGCAGCCAGTGGATTATCCAGGGCCTTGCATTCCTGCTGAAGGTTAAACCTCTCCCCACCATGATTTAATACGTACTTGTGTGTGTTGCTTATGAATTCCAGAGCCCCTGACGGCCGCCATGTGCTAGCGAGAGAAATATTTCAACTGTGTAAGAGTGTGTGTGTGTGTGTGTGTGTGTGTGTGTGTGTGTGTGTGTTGCTATTTCAGCTCTGCTAATGTGTGTTTTTCAGGCCCGCTGTTTCTAATATTTAGCTGAGTGCCAGGGGTCATGTTTCTAGTGTTTCTTCAAGAACCAAAAGCAGATTAAAGAAAGGCAGAGTCGAGAAAGACAAAGAGGGATGGGACGAGGGTGTGACGAGAAAGAAAAAAAAAAAAAGAAAAAAAGCGGCAAAGGTTCATCAGACAGTTTCACAACTGGTTGGGAGTTGAACTGGGGAGTGTGGAGGTTTGGGGGATTTCCGTACGGCTTTAGGAGCCATCTGTCAAAAATCCAAACCATTTCCTATCTCTGCTTCTCCTTGCTCACTCTTGCTGCCCTCGGTCTCCATCACAACATCTGCTTTCTTTCTCCTCGTATCTCGCACCCCATCCTCGCCGTTTCCCACCTATTTTTCCTCCGTAATATTTCACTTCTTCTCCAGCACTCTCAGCTTTAAAAAGACACACACATTTCTCATACATCACTGCAGTGGTTATAAATTGATTCTTGAAGAACAGCAGCTTGTTCAGATTTGTCAGAGATGGTCGGACACATGGAGGAGGAGGAGGAGGGGAGGGGAAGAAACTCAACCTGCTCCCTGACGTAAGCTGCTAACGCTACCATCGAGTGCGTTGCGGGAGCTGGATGAAATTCCCCCCCAACCCCACGAGTGACTCATTCGATACAGCTGAAGGGAACATCTGGGGTTCAAACCGAGGTTGTTAAACCAACAGATCAAGGCTCCCGAACAAGTCCAGAAAGATCTGATGTGTAAAAAAAAAAAAAGTGTTGGTTTTGGAGACCAACAAAACAAATAGCGGAGTGACAGAATGATAACATTAAAAAGTTGCTGAGGTTTCCATGAGCTGACATCCTGGCGCGAGATGCAGGATTCCGAGACTTGAAAGTTTGCGTGTGCCACAGTTTCCACAGTTTCCTGATCATTAATCAGCACATTCAGGAGTCATTCATCAAGTTGACAGCTGACAAAGTGGTGTCCTCCTTTCAGAGCATTCCAGTCCGATACTTGGATGTAATGCACTCATGTACCCATAAATATCCTTATTCAGAACACCTAATGTGATTGTTTGCCTCTGCTGTTTTTTCTTTTGTGGGAATTACAGCACATCAGATGTATTTGTAGTATGCAAAGTGCACTAATTCCCTTCTAAACCGAGGCTCTCAGTGGGGGTTTACAATAATTATTTGGCTCCGAGCGCTTCATGTACATTGAGAGACTTCTTTCTGTTTCTTATTATCCGTTCATTACATCGCAGTCATTTCATTAACATTTAATCAGTCGGGTTGATGCTAAGATGCGCAAATCCAGAAGGTATTTGTCAAGAAACCAGGCCAGAAATGTCTATAGCTGCCCATGTATGGCATTGCAAAGTGTAATATTCACCAAGTAGTAGAATTCCAACACATATCGGCCAGTTCAGACAAACAGTATAAGCGGCTGAATGTGTTCTGAAAGGATTTTTTTGTGCTGCCTACTACCCCGGCTGACCCCGTCTGACAGCTCTGTTAACTGGATTTAAGTTCACGGACAGCGTTCCCCCGTGGTTAATTTACGTCTGCATTCCTGACATAAGCTTATTAAATATAATAAGCCAGATAAGATACAGCAGATATGGGAACCATTTGTTTCAGATGATTTATTTACTTGTTTTTTTTCTTCTTCTTCTTCTCTTCTCTCCCCTCTGGCACAGATGGACAGAAGAGGAAAAAGTCACTGAGGAGGAAGTTGGACTCTCTAGCAAAAGAGAAGAGTAAAGACAAAGGTATGCCGAGTTGTTTTTCATGTGCACGGTTTCGCCACTTCACAGGGATTTCTCTCTCCGTCTGTTCTCGCTGCCACATCTCTCTCCATCTCCTGCCAGCGAGACAGAGGACCAGTCTGTGGTCTACGGCCCTCCGGCAGGTGAACAGCGAGGTTATAAAAACACAGTTTCTGTTTACTGGGCTTCAACAGTTTATATTTAGCTGAAGTGGAGGGACTCTTGCTATGAGAAGCACACTCTGAAAAGGACGTTCCTCAAAGACGCTTCAATGAAAAGAGAACATAAAATAAAAGGAGATTTTCTTATCAGACTAGTGAGTGCGGCTGCTTATGGCTCTATCGTACAAAGAAGGTACACACACACACACACATCCAAATAGTTTCTGATAGGCTGCCATGCTTTAACCGCTACTGATTTTGCAGAGCTTGCAATGTTGTGCCACAAGATTTTAAGGCTATTTAAAGCCAATGAGAAAAGCACAAAGGCCAAACTAGCATGGAACCTACCCAGAGAGAAGGATCTAATAATCCACATTATGGGAAACGGAAGATCCAGAGATTTTGGAGCTTATAGTTATCGACAAGTTGCTAAGTCTCTTTCAAGAGAGTAGGTGAGAGGACATCAGACAATGATCTGTCACTCAAAGCCTATAATTGTGCACAACTTGAAGTTTTAATACAAAGCAATGGGGTCATTTTTATTTTAAAAAATGAAGAAACTAACTGTAGACCAACACTGCTTTTTGTACGAGGCTCTAAACAGGTTTACTTCTGCTGTAAAGTTTGTTATTTTAACATGGTGGTCTATGGAGATTGACTCACTTTTAGAGCCAGCCTCAAGTGGCCAACGGAGGAACTGCAATGGTGCAAACTCACATATTGCGTATACATTTTTGTGCTCGCATTTTATTTGCTGTTAGATTCTAACTGTAGATTGATGTCGAGTAGTTGGTTGGAAAAGTTGTTTGTGAGCAGATAAGAAGTCAGTTAAAGTTAGCAACATGTTGTTGAGATGTTTTAAAAAAGAAAATACAACACATCTGGTGCACACACATGCAAACGAAAAGCATACAAGAAACTCAACAAACTCAACCCTAGCTGCATAAATAAAAGGCCATACTGCATTGCATAGCTGAGAGATATAAAACAGCCGGCATGCATCCATCTGTAATCACTAATGAAGGCTTTTGTCAGTGCTATGTCCTCTTTTCATGCACTGATTTGGATTGGAATGATGGCACGCCTTCTACGCTACAGCTGTGCAGCCTGCAAATACTACACATGCTTTAACCGGCAGCGTGTTGTTGATGACAGCTGTTAATACATTGTGCGGTTACATGCGATCTCCAGCCTATGAGAAAAACAATCATGTTGTTATCCGGCCGTCCCTTTAAGTTTTACATAAAGCTGAGAATGTAAACTGAGAGTGTACGTAGGTGGGTTCTTCCTCCACTGCATGCCTGTGTTTACTCCTACAGAGCACAGAAGGCTCTACCTGTGGCCTTAACTGCAAAAGGATTCTGAGTTTAATTTTCTCCTGGGGTCCGTAAATACCAGCCCCTGTATTTCACTTTGAAGCGGGCTTAGCCTTTTCTCTGCAAGAGGGACACAAAAAGAACAGTAAAATGCTGGCTGCTGCGGTGATCTGAGCCGTGCATGTGTTGTGACCGAGCCCCGGCCAAACTTTATTTGCAAAAACGGATGAATAGCTGCTATAATCTGCTTTGCTAAAGGCTGAGTTTTTACCTCAGATGGTGTTAAGCAAGCCGTCAGTTATAACACAGATTTACTAATTGGGCATAAGGACCTTTTGGCACCTTGGTGCTGTGAGGTGAGCTCCACCCATTTGTGCAAAAAAAAAGAAAAACAAGAATTATTTCCTGAGGCTGTGAGATGATTTCTCCACCGACCGAGAGCACATCGAAGTAATGTAAACATGGACGTAAATGAGAAAACCGAGCGCTGAAACCTGTTGTTCCTAAGGCACCGCAGGCCTGGAAAATGTAGATTTATGAAAATCTGACATTGTGGTCGGGTTGTCGACGCGTCTGTGAAATACTGTTTCAGACATACATGCGTGTGTTGTGTGTGTGTGTGCGTGGCTGAGGTTGTGTGTGCGGGTTATGTAAGCCCTGTTAACGCTGCGAGGCCGCGGAGCAAATTCGTTGTGTCACAGCGTTAGTGGTCATGTTGTTCATAAACCACAGCCCTTCACTTGTGGTTGTGGAATGCATTTTGCTTTTCTCTCTTTCACTCAAGTCTTCCTTTGCCTCATTTTCCCTCTTTTTTTTTTTTTTTTTTACACACACACTCCACAGCTGGACGTTTTTTCCTCAGCTGTTGGCTTTGGGATTGTGTATAATGGAATATATAGCCTGTGATGGCCCAGGATGACATCATTCTGCTCTGAAGTGATCCCTGCACATATTTCAGTGCTTGCATGTGCGCATAGTAGTACAGCACCAATTTTCATCAGTATATCCTGAGTTAATTACTTCGGCTTTGCTCCACTAGATTTTTTTTTTCAAACCTCTTTAGCTCTTGCAGCGTCTTGCCAAAACAAACTGCCTTTCTTCTATGCTTCAGAATTAGGGGGGGGGGACAAAGGAATAAGCGGGTATTTACATGTGTCAGAGCTTCTAAAAAATGATCTGCATGGAGAAAATGACATTTGCTTGTGGGTGTGAGCCATCAAAGTTGTTATTTTGGTTAAAGAATTAATGGGTTGTCGTAGCCAGATTTATGTCAGGCTGTTTTTTTCTTCCTCTGTGATGTCTTATTTTGGAAAACAGATGTAGTAGTGCTTGTAGTTTAGTAGTGCCATAAGGTTGGTGATGCTTTTATTGCACGTGTGTAAAAAGGGAAGCAGCAGGAGAAGCGATAAAGGGTTTAATTGGATCTTGTGTTGCTAAGTTTAGCCCTTTTTTTTCCCCAAGTAAAATATAATTCCTTCTTCTGTCTTTGCTCCTCCTCTTTTCTCCCTTATCTCCACTTTTCTGCAGAATGCATACCGCAGGCCTTCAGCATAGCCCTCTCCCAGGTCATCGCTAATGACAGGACACACAGGCAGCGTCAGGATGGTTATCGTCAGGACCCTCCACAGCGGGAGGAGCACAAAGACTCCTCTGACCTCGTCTCGTCCATTTTACAGGTCTCATCTATGTGCCTCTCTCTGGATTTGCATGATTCCCGGCTGCAGTTGTTTTGAACTATACAACTCATGGAAAAGAGTCTAAAGCTTGGATCATGTGTTTTGCAGTTTGCCACCAAGCGGCCGTCCAACAAGGAGTTATCCAGCAGCAACTCCTCGCTGAGCTCCACATCGGAGACGGCCAACGAGTCGACATCACCCAACACCCCTGAAGCTGCACCGCGAGCACGCAGGAGGGTGAGACATTCCCCGATTATTTTCGACGCTTTAATTCAACTGATTTTTTTGACTTCTAAATAAAATGCTTGATTATCCTCCAGGGAGGCATGTCGGTGGACTCTATCACAGACCTGGACGACAACCAGTCCCGGCTGCTGGAGGCGCTGCAGCTCTCCCTGCCGGCCGAAACGCCGAGCAAGAAGGAGAAGCACAGGGACAAGAGGCTGAGCCTCAATCCCATTTACCGTCAGGTGCCCCGGGTGGTCGACAGCTGCTGTCAGCACATCGAGAAATATGGTGAGCAGCTTGCTTAACTACCGTGACCATCTTAGATGTACCTCCGGTTTTCTTTTTTCTCCTCTTTCTGCTTTGTTAATAGTCATTGCGGTTGTTTCCCTTTTTTCCCCACTCAGGTTTGCAGACTGTGGGGATCTTTAGAGTGGGAAGCTCCAAGAAGAGAGTCCGACAAGTGGGTAGTTTTTCCTCATTTTGTGCTCAATTTGGTTATCCTCTTCAAATCATTTCCTTCGCTCTCTATACGAAAGCATCGTCAAGCCACCAAGTTTCACCAGCAACAAATCAAACGGCCACTTTTGCACCGAGCAAAATTCTTGTGCTAAATGTTCTTCGCACATTCGTCGCCCGTCCACTGACAAACAAAACCTCCTCTCTAAGAATAGAGTGTGTGATAACCAACACCGAAATGTGCCGCTTATGCCACCAAAGCTTCAGCTGTTGCGTCTGATCTATGAGGAAAAAACGCACAAGACACGCCTCTTTAATAAGCCTGAGAAATCCACACACATCGAGCAGAGCAGCTCCTAACGCTGTATTTATTATTCAAGCAAATATTAAGTCATTCCACTCACTCCTACACCTTTCATTATCTGACACCTCTGACTCCGGTTGAATACGCAGTCAAAGAATGCATAAATCAGGGTTAAACTTAATGGAGCAATCAGTGTGGGCAGCAGAGTTTTTTGTACATAATCTTTTGTGGTGCATGTTTTTATAACGCCGACTTCCACTTGGAGCAGTTACAGACAACTGGAGGCGCTTGTTGGTTATTGAGGGGAGGGAAGGTTATTCATTCACTAAAAGACACAAAGCGCACTTCTGTGACCTTCAGGTTTGCATTACGGTGCAGCAGAGGAGTGCTGTTTGAATAAAAACTGCCTTTGTGAATGTCATAGGAAGCGATTGTGGAATGGAAGACTACCATCATGGTCAAATGCGTCACATAGAACAAGTTCATTTAGGAGCTTTTTAATCCTGACTGATGCAGTTCCACACGTCACAGTGTTTACCAATCACTTCGTACATTTACCTCATAATCCAGCGTTTGAAAGCTAAAGGAGCCGTTTGTGTGACAAAGGATTAAGTCTGCATGATATGAAGAAAATCTGGAATGTGATAACATTGTTGGGTAATGCGATAACCATATGACTTGCATAATAACGCTACAGTTCCTGGGTCTTTGTGCTGCTAACATAGATTCCAAACACTGGATAGCCCATACCCTACATATGCACATCCCCAGAAATGTATATTAAATAAGATATTGTACTTTTACTACCTTCAAAATAGTTTCCTCTAAGCTCAACACCTCTGGACACTTTCCTCACATCTTTGAGTTCCATCTCCTTTAGGCCATGTTTCCATACAGGTGCAGGACTTTAGATTTCAAAAATGAGCCAACAGTGAGTAAAAATGTGAGCAACAAAAAATGCCCAAGAACTCCTTGGAGCTCAGAGGCTTGTCAAGGAGGTCTTTTAACAAAACAGCCCTGAAGATGTCATCATAGTTATCATAAAAAAGGTTTTTGTGTCTTTTGTTTGCCTGTCGAGATTTTCCTACATGTCCTGGTTCTGGTTAATCAGGAAAAACAACATTTGCCCTCACATATATATATCAGTTAAAAATCAGTTGCAGCTGCCTGGTAATCATGAAAGTGATTTCATTGCCTTGAATCACTTTGTTCCATGTTGTACACTGATCCACTGTATTCTGCCTGTACACTACAGTATTGTTCTCTGCCACTATTGAGAGACAAAAGAGCCAAATTATGTGTTTAAAAATCAATTCTTTTTATTTATTTTTACCATTTACACACTTGGATTAAACTCCAATAAATAGAACTATAATATTCCGAGAGACCACTCTACCTCTTTGTATGTTTACAAGACCTCCTCTTTAGTATAAACTCTCCAAATTAAACGGCTTGTATTCACACATCTGTGTATTATGTGTGGCGAGTGTAAAATAAATCTCCATTTTGCGTTCTCTGCTGCTCTGTGTTGATACTATCCAATGTCAGCTCACTGTGAAATAAGAATTTATTCATGTGAAAACTGGCAAATGCACAGAACCCATCATCATGGTCAAGAATAGGCTTTGTAATTCTCTGGAAGTCATCCAAAGGTTGCAAAGATTACAATCCATACTGGTTAAACGAGTTTGAGAATCTACCACGAGGACCAGAAGGAAGGGAGTGTGCGCGCCACTTGGCCACTTGGAATATAATGTCCATTGTTAAGTGTGTAGGATGTTTCTAAATCCCCCTCTTCCTCTCTTTCCGTTTTTTTTTTTTTTGTGACCCGCCTTCAGCTACGGGAGGAGTTTGATCGCGGTATCGATGTCCAGCTGGACGAAGAGCACAGCGTTCATGATGTAGCTGCTCTGCTCAAGGAGTTCCTCAGGGACATGCCCGACCCTCTTCTCACCAAGGAGCTCTACACGGCCTTCATTAACACCACATGTAAGCGTCCTTCCCCCTCCTTTCCATCTCCGTTTCTTTGCTACCATTCCTCTTTTTCCAATCCATCCTGATCTGTTGCCGCAGTGTTGGACTCCGACGAGCAGCAGAGCGTCACTCAGCTTCTGGTCTACCTGCTCCCAGCATGCAACAGCGACACTCTGCACCGCCTCCTGGAGTTCCTGTCCACCGTGGCCGACCATGCCCACGACCAGCAGGACAAAGACGGGCAGGAGGTGAGCGCCAAGCGCGGGGGAAACATTTGTGTCCGAAAACTGCTTGAGGGGAGCTTTTGGTTCCACCTCATTGGGAGGAAATTTCCAAAGAAGTGATAGGAAGCAGTGCACAAACACTGATGTACGCCCCAGTGACCATAGCATCCACAATAATGTTAATGGCTGCATTTGCTCCAAATCTGCACCCTGGAAGGCTCAGCTTTTGCACTTCTACTGCCTGTACAAGGAAACAACTGCTCTAAAGGCCTGAAAAAAAACCTTAACTTGGGGAAATCTGGCAAACTGAGTAAATATTTCTCTGCCTTCCTCAAACACCTGGAGTAGCATGAGGGTGTTTAACTTGAAAATATTCCGCTCACAATGATTGCAATCTAAAACAAATTCTTCAGGGATAGAACAAAGCCGTGGGTCAACACTGGAATACAATGCAGTCATTATTACTAAAGACAAGACATGGCTGCCATTGATGGGGGTGCTTCAAGGGATTGCAGGATGGTGCATGATGAAGCTGAAGTAAGTTGAATATATTTGGGTTGGACACAAAACAAGATACTTGAGGACTTCACTTTGGGAACACTGACATCATTTTCTTGCATTTTATAAACCAAACTAAGTCATAAGTTTGAGTTTGACATGGTAGAACTTGTCAGACCATTGACCTCAATCTCCAACACCTTAAGGATGAGCTACGAGCCAGACTTCATCGTCTAAGTTTCATACCCAACCTGACTATCCCAACTGTCTGGGGAAAAAAACGTCCTCCAAAAATCTGGTAACAAGCTTGCACCAGATGGCTGTAACGGCGTCGGGTCGACCATGGCTTTGGCAGAGGTGCTGAACAAACATGAATTCAGACGTGTCTGACTCAAACTAACAATTCTTTCCTCAGTTAAGCTGCTCTAAAATCACTTAAAGTTAAATTGCAGCTATCATGAATTAAGCTACCTGTTGATGCCACATCACCACTGTTCTTACATCCTTGCATCCATTCTTTTATCCTTTACATATAAGCATAAACTTGCCACCAGTTCCATTTTTGCACTCCTCAATCCTTATTCAACTACGTCCCACTATCAAATCTCAGCTTTTCATCCATCCCTCGCACCACCTGCCAAACAAAAAGCGATCACGCCTTTGCTAATTCAGCCCTCTGAAATCATTTTCTGTAGTTCTGCTGAATCTTTAGGCTGTTCCAAGTGGATTCTTAAACCCGTCTTTACAGGAAAGCCTTTTTATACACCTCCATCCTTGTCTTATGTTTTGCTTTGTCTGCCACTGTACTGCATTTCATTATGTAACTTAACACAATAGGATTATACACTTTTCAGGAAAACATGTGAACCAAACACTCCCCCATCCTTCACTATCTTCCTACATCTATCTACCAACTTTAATGCACAAAGAATAGCCTCATGCATGTACGTCAGAGTGTAATTGCACCACTATTTATTTTTTTGCAAGAGTGTGTGTTGTTCAAGTCCATACTGTACGTGTGAACGAAAACCACAGAGTGATTTTGGCATGTGTGTGCTCAGATGGAAGCGTGTTTTGTTGTCCCTGTGTGCACACATGAGAAAGGACTCTGGTGTGTGTGCGTTTTTTTCCCTTCACGGCTTTATGGCTCTTCTATCTGTAAGTGAGACTGCGACAGTCAATCCGACTGTTTCACGCTCGGCTGGGACAAAACGTCAGTACTTTTTTGGCTGCTTGTGACTCCCATCCCTCCGCTGAGACTGGGAGAGGAAAGGGAGGAAACTGGGCAAGAGTTCGAAAAGGGAATTTATAACTTTAAAAGCTGTCCAAGCTCTGCGGGGTTTGCAATCCGAGATGCTAATTGTGTCACAGGATGTGCACCATCACCCAACTCTAGCAGAAACAGCGGCAGCTGTCGTACACTCCGACACTTTTTTGTGTTAATAAACCCCATGATGCCAATTTTTTTATCCATCTTTTGCTCTCGGTGACAAAAAAGAGAGAGGAGGATGTGATGAGAGGTGTGGAAGTTGGACGGGAGAGGTGAGAAAATCAGCTTGAAAGGATGGATGGGAGATGTAAGAGGGAACTGGAGGAGAAAGGAAGAGTTAGAAGCAGAAGAAATGACTGTAAAGACTGCTCGTTTCTGTCGTACCATGTCTACAGTTTTCTTTATGACAGCCTCTGGGGAAAGTTAAGTTTTTAACCATGTCTGTATGCTGTTTTTTTATGTTGGAAGACACATTAAGGGCAAAATAGGCAGTTAACTCCCGAGCATTTCCACCTTGAAACTGGTGACAATCTCAAAAACTGTGAAAAAGAAGAAGGCCGGGGCTTTCCAGAGCATTAATATCTTCTGAATAGGTTTCTGGTTCAAGCATGTACGACTGAAATACTGCAAGATTACAACTTGTCATTGTGTAGCGTGTAGTAGTTTTACCAAAGTTGTAGGTGAGCTGGTGTGCTTGGGCTGCAGCAAGTGGGGTGGATGACACGAGCTGGATCATCTCGAGGAAGCAACAGTGTTGAGATACATCTAAGCCCTGAAGAGATTATTGTCATGGAAAAACAACTTCTAAATATGAAACTTTGATGCACAGAAATGAGTTTCTGGGGATTTAATCAATGACCGGAGAGGGACTTTCTCCTCATAAGGGAGGAAATCGTTCTCCTGTGATGCAAAAGTTGCTTGACGAAGGGCAGTCTTGTGGTGCAACTTTTAATATGGAAAACAGAAATGAAAAATAAATGCAAATTCTAGGTAGAAAATAAGATTTTTCCTGTTCTACAGCTAAAACACACACAAACCCTCCGGATGGTGTTACTACATTATCATTGTGCACTGTCTACTATTTGTCTGATTCAATCACCATTTTGTCCATTTAAAGTGTGATACAGTCTAACAAGTTATTAAATGTGATCATAATGTGCATCCAGATGCCACACATTGGGTACAGTTTATGTTAGAGACTCACTAATTTGATAAAAAAAATTGTTTTGCCGCAGTAATTCTGGTGGATCAGAAACAACTGGGAGAAGATGTTTGAGCATTAACAAGGCTGCACATTTGTGTGTCTGCGTCCTAATTTCAGATCACAGGGAACAAGATGACGTCTCTAAACCTCGCCACTATCTTCGGCCCCAACCTGCTCCACAAACAGAAGAGCTCCGACAAGGAGTTCAGCGTCCAGAGCTCAGCCCGGGCCGAGGAGAGCACCGCTGTCATCGCCGTGCTGCAGAGGATGATCGCCAGCTACCACACGCTCTTCATGGTCAGTCCCTGTTGTGTTTTCTAACTTTTATCCCTTTGCTCATCCTTCTGCGCTCACATTGGCCGATGCACACTACCCTCTCACATTCCTGTGTAGGCTCAAAGTAAGACAATCCTTCCCGGCTTAAGCAGACAATGCTTGTGTCTTAGTTAATGAAAATAGAGCTGAGCCTGGTTTAGCAGCAAGACAGAAGGGGCGGGAAAAGACGCCATAGAGGATGAAAGTAAAAAAAACTGAGCGTGTTTGTGGGGAAAATCACTTCTGAAGTCTTTAACTTCATGCAACAATAAAGCACAAACGCAGTCAAGCCTGCGAGCTGACAGTAACATCAAGAACTTTTCATCCAGATACTCGAACTTGTTCTTTCCAAAATAAAAACAGAATAGAACATCGAAGCGTGAAATCCTTTGGCACAGTTTACCGCCTCATCAGTCGCTTTTGTTCTTTTCTGTTTCTGGGATCCTCAAAGAGGAACACAGTCATGTTTGGGTCATTTCAGGTTTGAAACCTTAAACCGTAATGTTTTGTAATCTGCCACTGCTGTTCCCCCGAGGCTTACATTCCTGCAGTAAGCCAATGAGGAGTTATTAATCGCATACAGTGAATTGGGGCTGACTTGCTCAGTCTTAGTGAGTAAAAACAGACTTGTAGGCAGCTCAAGTTCTGTGAATGACATCTGAAAGTTGTTTTGTAACCTGCTTATGTCTGAATTTGTTAGAGATCTGGCAAGTTGTACTTTGAAAGCTTTTAAGGATGGGAATCTTTGGAGAGACTGGGGTTTTTGGACAGTGTCCTTAATCTTAATCTGGGTCTGATAAGCATAAATATCTGATAATTAGGAGAATCAGCCTGGAAACGAAGGCAGATCTCCAACTTTCTCAGTGTTTCTTCACCTTGAACTGTTAAACAAGCAAGAAACTGCTCATTTCCTGTTGGTACAAATAGGAAAAAATATGTTTTAATGATCGGGAATATGTGTTTTAGGTGCCTCCTGATTTGCAAAATGAGGTTCTGATGAGCCTTTTGGAAACTGATCCAGATGTAGTGGACTACCTTCTGAGAAGAAAAGCATCCCAGTAAGTTACCCACTGAGGTTTGGTGTTTTTATCTCCTTCTATCTTCCACCATTTCATTCACATTGTTCTTCCCCTACAGGAGTCCCGACCTGCTGCAGGCAGAGGAGACCTTCAACCTCAGCGAGCGACGGTCGTCCAGCGACTCCAACAAGGCGTCCAGCGGAGAAGTTTCGCCTTACGACAACAACTCCCCGGTGCTGAGCGAGAGGCGAGGGGAAACGGGGAGCCCGGCGAGCGAACAGCTCTTCCGGGTCCCGGAGCAGTACTCTCTGGTGGGGCAGGTGGCCGGCTGGAGCAGAGAGCCAGGAGCTGACACCTGGGGCTCCAAAGGTGAGCTGTGACCGCCCATAAACCTGGAATGTGTTTGAAAGTGAGACTCTACAATAGAGTTTTTGCGTCACTAGCGTCCGGAAATTTGTGCTTGAACATGCAAATGAGGCATTAAGCAGAGACACATTTGCAGAAATCATGATTATTGAAATCCACAAATGAAGTATTATCTTATTTAATATGCACTAATTTACGTAAACTTCCAGAACCGAAATCTAAATATCGGGTAAAAGCAGCATCCTACTTTCCTTTTATACATATTAGAGTCTTGAATATCTTTCTTTCTTTTTTTTATCATCTCTATAAGGCAGAAAATACAGTCAACAACCAGAAAAAAAAATAAAAAATTGCCCAAAATGTTCAATAAATCCAACTATGACAGATTCCAAACCCCTCGATCAAGACGTTAAGAATATAGATAGGAATAAAATTATGTACATATCTATTAGGAACCACTATTTGCAGGTAAAAATTGTAACCAAAAGATATCACCATGAAATTTCACTATTACTTCACTTAAATCACTTCCTTGTACTACAAATTTTACATAAATGTACAATAAGCAGTGTCTTAAAATAACCACCTAAATGCCTAAATTCTGGACGTTTGCTTTCCACTCGTGTGAAAGAAGACCTTCAAACTCCCGCAAACTAACTAGTGCATGAGACAGCTTTGTTTTTGCCTGTAGATGCGAGACTCTTCACACAAAATGTGCCCTTTTTCCTACGGCATAATTCAATAATTCACGACTCTTCTGCTTCTTTCAGAGGAGCACGCTAACATTTGGGGCACATGGCACAGTACCCTGAAACCGGCGCTCAAGAGCCAAACATATACAGGTAAACACTTCTAAAAGCAGCTCAGGCGCTCCGCAGATTCTGTTCCGAGCGGTTAATGAGGCGGAACAGGACGTGCTTGACACCTGGTGTTGGCGATTAATTGCAAGAGAGGAACAAAAAAAAAAAAAAATCAAGGAGCAGCACCAAATACTTCAGTCTTTCAATCTAAATCTGTTGTTATTTTGCACTGCTGGTCATCTGAAACCACTTCTCTGCTGCCTTTTATTTATGTTGGAGTGGTTTGTGATATCAGGTGAATGCTTTCAACCAATCGGCAACTGCGAGGACGGAAACTACGAGCAGAAATGTCCCCAACTAGAATAATTTGGATTCAAATTCAGCTTCTAGGGATTTCGGGAATAAGAAGTTGTTCAGTAAATTGTAAATGTTTTTACCAAATTCTGCAGAATATTGCTTCAATAAACCCAAAATAATAACACTATGGGGCTTTAGGTTTAATTTACCTGTCATAAAAAGCAAAGGAAATATAGTTAGTGATGTGTTTTTTCCCCCTTGTTATTCATTAACAACAAATCCACTGATGTAGCGATGATGCTCTGTTTCTAGGTTCCCATGGCAACATGTCAGAAGGAAGCTCCCGCAGCTCACAGGAAGGTCTTGACGGACTCCATGGCGACAGCAGGCAGCAGACAATGGTACAACGGACTCAGACGGAGTGCAGGCCCCACCCGCCGGTCACCCGAGTGTGCACCAGCCCTCACGTGGGGCGACCGCGCCTGCAGCTAAACATCAACCCCTCGGTGACGTCGCACCTCAACAGCACGCAGGGCCTCCAGCGAGGTCACTCCAGACCTCAAGGCGGGGTGAACACTATCGAAGGCGGGCCCCCTCCCCCTTACAACGCCCATCACCGACTGGCCGGCTCGCAGAGCTCGCCTCAGCTCGCGACGGTCCCGCAGCCCCACCTGCAGCACGGGAAGCCGAGCGCCACGCAGAGTAACTCGACAACAGAGGCCCAAATGGTGCCGCAGAGTCCGGAGTGGCAGGAGTGGCAGAGGGACCGCTGGCAGATCTGGCAGCTGCTGTCCTCGGACAATGCCGACACACTTCCCGAAACGCTGGTGTGATCGCAGAACTCTCAGCTTATATGCCTCTTCATCCGTGGATCTGCACCCTTTCCACGAAAACCCTCCCTGCATCTTTAAAGCGCCGTGGCGTTTGTTGTTTACGTGTGCAGCTGCTGCCTCATACAGACTTTTACATCCAAGAGCCACTAGTATTTCTTGTTTTGTACGGATGTTGCTTCTTTTTCTCGGCCCTTTTGTTCATCATAACGTCTTGGAGCATTTACAAAAAATAAAAATAAAAATAAATGCCCACCAGAAATACCTCAAAAAAAATGATCCTTTCAGAATGTTGCCGCATTTTCTATTCTGAGTTTAGTCTTCATATCTCAATGGAGAATGGTAGGAAAACACTCGTTAGAATTTCATTTTCACCACACAGACACTAAGATGTACGCATTAGTAATTGCTGCTAAATGTTTTTGGTTTTTTTTTGTGCATACTATTAATGTAATTCAGCCACATCTTTCGACAAATGTTGAATTACCTTTCAATGACGATTACATTTGACTGTACATATATATATGTGTATACACAAATTGTTGACAAACATACCTAAACAATATATGTAAATTGATATGTAAAGTATATAATTTGCCTCTAAGTATCTACCTAAAAGTAAGTCAGCCCCTTAACTGGCAGTCTAGATGTTGGTGTTTGTCAGACTGCTGCTTTTTGTCTTTAATATTGAATGTAAAATGCTTCACTTATGGCAAAAAAAAACCAAACGCTTAATTATAAAGCACTCAGCTGTAAGTTTGCTTACACTTCATGTGCTCTTGCCACCTGCTGCAGTGCAGGAACATTGTGCCAAAGTCTTTTTTTATTTTTAATTTTCACTCCAGGATATTGGTCGTGCTGTTGTGTATATGCCATCCATTTATATTTTGCTGAACAAAACACACAAGAGCTAGGACACTGGCAGGTTTTTGTCAAGAATTTCAGCACACTAGGTTAGAAGAGTAGTAAGGCTCGTGTTGACACATGAAAATAATTCCGACTGTTTTTTAAAAAAATGAGAAGCTCCAATATGAAGAGCCCATATTATGCTTTTTGGGTGTTTAGTTTGTTATTTTGCAAACTTAAAAAAGCCCCAAATCCACACTGAAAGGAATAAATCTTAGAAACACTGCTCCTTTCCTGCCCTCATTTTCAGGATTTTAATCCGTTACTTATCGATGTCATCATGTAACTCATTTGCATATCACCTGCCCAGCAGCTAGCTATGCAAACGAACAAAGTATGAGCAACTTTCTCGCAAAACTTCCTAATTCGAGCCATTTCTGCGAAGGCTTCGTCTCTCTCCGCTACTCAAAAACTCTGGTATTATGATATGTAGCCTTGCTATTGTCGAGCCAGCTGACCAATCAGAGCAGGTTGAGGCCTTAAAGAGGCGGGAGCTAAAACTGAGCGTATCAGATCGAAGGTAAAAAGTTGTACTGCAGCGACGCACATACGAGCAAAAATTGGGTTTTTTTGAACATTAAAGACGACAAATATTTTCTACATAAAATTCTGAACGTGCATAATATGAGCTCTTTAAATGGTTAGTTTGTATACATGCCAGAACCGCCGTTAAGGCTGGATATTAGATAGACATGGCGAACAGTAGGTTCACATAATTCTTAGCCTTTGGAAACATTTTTAAAGGCTGATAATTATTTGAAGGTATTACTGAATCTAAATTTCTACTGGAAGTATTAATGTTGCTAAGATCATAACCTGATCAGCTTTAGAGTCACTGACCATGGTGCATGTTAACACCATACACACAGTATGATGATATTCACAGCAACACATTAGTATGAAAGACTGAATATACCAACTAGGTATGGACTTGGGAATGAAAATGTGCTTCTTAAAAATTCATAGAAATGTCACAATTCGTTAGCGGTCCAACTGAGGTGCTAAAGAAAAGAAAGTTTTCATGTGGTTTTTTTTCCCCCTCTCACTTCAAAGTCTAAGTGGCATAGCTGATGCAGGTGGAAATGAACTTTCTGAATATTTGAATAATCTCCACCCACGACCAACCTGTCCACTTCCCCTCACATGTCACAGTCAAGTGGGTATTTGCTGGCAAATATGTCACATTTTTCCTCCAGTTAAGATGTAATATTTGCTCAAGATGCGAAGCCAGTTCAGCATTAAACGTGGAGAGAAAGTGAAATCTGACATCTTTTTCCTTTGAAAAAAACTCAACAGTTGGGAGCTGAACAAGTGCAAGAGTTGGAGGGTTTGTGGGAAGGATTATGGCGCCATCTACTGTCTGATCGTGCACAATGACATGTTGCCACAGTTCACTGTTTCCATGGGAATCCATCACTCATCCATCCATCTGTGCTCAGATTAGGATAAAAGCTTGTGATTTTAAGCACCTTTTGTGAAAATGTGCAAATCTCTGTGAGGAAATAGACGTGCCATAGGTCTCGCTCTTAAAAGTTGTTTCTCCGTGTAATGTTCAAGATTCATATTTTGTGAATTTGTTTTTTTTTTGTATTACTTTGTTTTCTGTTGAGTGTTGTAATATATAAATACTATATAACAGTTTTTATTCAAGAAGATAAAAAAATAAGAAAAAAAAAGAGACAGTAATCCTCATGGTCCTAGCTTTTCCCCCAAATCAACATGTTCATGTTTGTCTTGTTGACTTCACTATGAAACAAACTTAGTGCTATGGTGTTTTGTTGGTTTTTTTTCTTTCTGTGGTTGTTTTTTTTTTTTTTTTTAATATTTGGTGGGGTTTACTGGGTCCAAGTTGTAATGGAATGTCTGGTATTTGCTTTTGTACTGCGTGTCATCATCAATATGCTAAATTGGAATTAAATATGATAAAGTTTACATCTGTTGTTGGAGTGGGTGTTTTGGAAGGTGACAAATCATCCATCCATTATCTATACACCGCACACACACATTCACATTCACACCTACGGACAATTTAGAATCACCAATTACATGTTTTTGGACCTTGTGGGAGGAAGCTGGAGAACCCAGAGAGAACCCACGCTGCACGGGGAGAACATGCAAACTCCACGCAGAAAGATCCCGGGTGTCCTCACCAAGACGTGAACCGGCGACCTTCTAGCTGCGAGGCAACAGTGCTAACCACTGCTCCACCTTGCAGCCCCGGTGACAAATCAAATTCAGTATAATATGTGCCATAATGTACTTTGTTATGGCTACACAGTGTTTCATATAACAGTGTGTAAAACTATAATGTTCCAGGTATGTCACAGTGAAAGTGACAGTCTCGTCCTGTACAGTCTGGTACATATTGGGGGGTGTCGTGATATACCGATACTGATGGTTTTGAAATAAAATATTGATATCATGATAATAATGATATCAGTAATCCAGCACCAGTAACTACACTCCTTGACACTCCAACAACTTAAAGTTGCATAGTGGTCTGAAAATCAACCTTTTACAAACATTTTAAGTTGAATTAACTTGTTATGGAGCAATTAACAAGCTAGAATGTTGGTGTAAAATATTATGATATCATAAGGCACTGGAAATTATATTTGACTCATAGCTGGGTCCACTTATCTTATTTCACAACTACATTCTCACTTGTGTGCATCTCATTGATGGTGTGGTTCTCTGTTTGGGACAGTGTAATAGAACTGGCAAGTAAATCTGATGTGGGCATTTTTAATAGCATTAATTACACCGGTGTATGCCCTGTATTGCAGAGTATAATGCCACATGGTGCAGTAGGATGTATATGCAGTTAGATAACATATTAGACGCCATCATATAGAATCAACTCGTCCATCATCATCCAGCACACTGTCATGTCTTCACTTCTGCTTCACTCACTATATTAGTTACTCTCTCTCTCACAGCCGTAGACCTTCATGAATGAAATGAAATGAAAAATACTTTATTCATGTACATGTGGACTGAATAACTGACTACAGGTGAACCTATTTAAGAAGAAAAAGCTATCACAACTGTATCTAGTGGGGTGTGTTAAAGCTGCAGTAGGCAACAAAGAAGAAATAGAAAATTCAAAGAAAAGAAAAGGATAATTTTGCGTTCATTTGTGGTTTCACCAAATGTTGTTTACAGTTTATACACCTGAAAGAGAAAAGACCAGTGATCGGCTAAAATCTCCTGTTACAGCCTAAATTTACTGAAAATGGCTGAAAATGAAGGCAGGATTAGATGTAAAGTTTCTTCTCAGACCACTTAAATTACAATATACTGAAAGGTTTGACACCAAAATATCCTGCCTACCTCAGCTTTAATAGTGCTGCCAGTCATTGTACTCCATTAAAGCAGTAGGTGTCAGTTATTGGCATTGAGAAATCATCATTTCAACTGGAGCAGAGTTCTTTTTCTCTCCACACTATATACAGCTGTGTGGTTGTGTTTTCTATAAATGTACCTCACACCATTACTTTTATAGTCTAAACTGGGAGCTGGTTGCAGACCCCTACAATACCACAAGTCCTGGGTGCCTGCAGGGGAAAAGCCCTGAGTTGGAGGCTAACTGGGGCATTTTTTTTGCTCGTGGGTGGTTCACCATTATTGTTTGTGTAATGTGTGTGGCTACTGGAGTGTAATTTTTTTTTACTTTTTTTGCTTCCCTCTGATCCACTCAAGCATTCCCACAGCTCTCTCCCTTATTCCCTCGTCACACAAAGTGCACTTACTAATCAGGCTTTGCATTCATAAAAGATAAATGGAACCTTACTTTTTCAAAACGGCTGTTTTTTCTTTTAATTTTAAAAACTTCATGAATGTAAATTTGATTTGCCATTTTAAACTAGGGGGGGAAACATTCAGTGTTGGGGGAAAAAAAGAAAAGGAGAACACACAGGGCAGTGCTCCTGTATGGAAGCTCTGTTATTTTGGCAGCTTTTGCCTTCAGGAGGAGATCAAAGCGACTAACAGTGGAGACTGCAGCCGTGAAGGCTCCTCACCCAGCCGGCAGAACAGCAACAAAAGCAACAGGAGAAAGGAGGCCTGAGAAAAAAAGATGTCACCCTCATGCCCCTTATCTGTGACGGCTGTGCGTTGGAGATCCAAGGACAAACAAACAACCTCAAAAAAAAAAAAAAAAAAGCAGCTCTGAGTCACTCGACTGTAAATGTCAGACTGAGGCGTGGGTCTCAAAGCCTCACCTTCAAAAAGTTGACAGAGCACAGTGCGGCGGTTGGGCTGCAGTGCGTAAACCCCTTATTACACTTGAGAAGTACATGCCTTGGAAGTGAAGTGGTGCAAAGAAGAAAGACGGTGGTCTGGTGAGCAAATGGGAACAAGTCGGATGGTGGTTAGATGAGCAATCGCAGTCAAAGCCGCTTAACAAGTCTGGGACGAGAGCGCAAAAGTGCTTACTAATAAGCTGCTCCGGTATTTACTAAATGGTTTGACGAAGTTGGTGCAAATATGCTCCTAAGTCAGCAGATCTCAAGCATTCAAGCCGAACAAGCGAATGTGCACTTGTGCTGAGCTGGCAGTTTCCATGACCATCATCGAATCATCAAAATCAGAGAGTTTCTTGTGGAAAAAATTGTGTCACCATCTTGCAGGGGAACTCCAAAAAACTGCAAGCCCGATAAGCTATTAACCTAGTTCTTCCTTAATATTTTTGGCAGCGGAACCGACACTCTTTTTCATTCCTTGAGCAACTGTCCTTGATTAAAATCGATCCTCATGGAATATTCTCCAAGTGATTTATGTGTGAGCGTGGATGTAACGCCCCAGCTCTGCCACTAGAGGTCAGTCACCAGCCTGCTTTTTGGTGAAACTCTATCTTTCATTGAGCCAAATTAACTACTTTTTCTTTTTCTGCATTGCATGTCACCCAAAAAAACCACAACTGATAATGAAAGAAATTAAACAAACTAGTTAAAGAAGGTGATGAATGGAAGCAGGGCTGAACTAAAAAAGAAGAAAAAAAATAAAAGTGGGAAGACCAGGTGTTTAAAAGGAATGGGAGGGGAGAAAAGATTATAAAGATTTCATGGCTTTTTGCTTTCAATTTTCTCCAGCTCTGCCTGATAGCAAATTAAACCACCTTACAGACCCCCAGAGAAGCCAAATCAACTGCTAGCAGACCATTAGACACATTGGAGAAGGTAATGGATGAGCATTTGGGTGTTTAACTGGAGAGATTGTGTGTGACTGACAATTAGGTATGAGGTAATAATTGAAACACAGACAATGCACAGTATGAACACTTGCTTTGTCTCGCTCCTCTTAATGGGCTCGGAGGAATAATGAGAATAAAGTTAATTTCTCAGCAGTGAAATTTCTAAAGAAACAGACTAGAGGTGGCCGGTTTTCATCTACTCTTAATTCCACTCTTTCTTTCTTTCTTGCAGGTTATCAGGAGGTCTGATCAACTCGAGTTTGGAAACTTTGGAAAGTAATTAAAATCTCTTTTTCTTGCAACTCAACCTGAGGACCTTTTTATTTGTTGCATTTTTCTTCCCTTTTGCCACCTACATCCTTCTGCTTCTAATCTTTTTCGAGTTTATCGGAATTCTAGCAACACAAATAAAAGAAACAGAATCTTTAAGCAAAACGCGGGTGAAATATACTCAACAGATTTCCAGAGTCACAACATTTAATTGTGCCAACAGGGTAATGTTTCAACACTATTGTGTCTCCATCAAAGTAGACGTGAGGAAAAACAGAATCTCCACCCTGAAGCCAAGGAGCTAAACCTTGACAGACTTGAACTGACATCACAGCTGCAGCGCTTGAGTTCATGAGAAATGGTTAAAAAAAAAAAGAAAGAAGCAACAGTACACAGTGTTGTTGCAGCACATGCTGCTTGGAAACAATGCATCACCATTACTGGGGCGAAAAAAAAGGCCTTGAATGCTGAGTTTGTTGATCACTCCCTGTTTGTCTCATTACAGTGTTTGTGCATTTTAGCAATCGATCAAAAGTCAGGAAAACCACGAGTGACTGTAAATCCTGAAATACACACAACAGCAAGCAGCCGGATGCTCTAATGCACAGATAAACTTCCTTATAGACATCATCCATGTTTGATTTGTGGACATGTTGAGGAGTGCATGACGATATAGATGTCATGTATGTATGTCACCAGTTTTGCAAACAACTATGGAAAAGTCCCTCAAGGAAATCTGTGTGCATAATCAGATCCAGCAATCTTGCACTTGACTTGACAAGAGGACAGTCCTACCTACTTCTGGACTCAAAGTCGGGGAGTCTCTGAGGGTTTAAGGTGGAGCTGTTCTCCGAATCGCATACTTTTTCCTTTACGGCTGCCCTCACAAGGCACAAGCATGCACACATACTATTTTGTCCCAATAATGCACCTTAAACTGTCTGCAGAGGATTGTAAACCAGAATGACCAGAGAAGCATGCTGCAAGACCAATCCAGATGGACATCTGGGTGTTTTTGGCGAGCTACATTTGATAAATTACGTACTGGGACACACTAAATGTAAACTATACAGTATGGAAGCACCGATACTGTAATGCAGCCTGGGATTGGGGCGTATTCAACTTAAATCATGTGTAGGAATCACGTCGGTTAATTGGCTGAGCAGGGATTTAAATCTATTGGATAATAAATCAAATGCTGGGAGTTGCCTGCATGGTGTTTCCACTCAAACACCATGTAGGCAAATCAAGCATTTCATGTAGGGGACCAACAGCATGTCAGGAAAACCTCTCAGGATAAAAGGTTCAAGAGCACAGGTGTAAATATCTGACAAACTTGGTTCTTCATTTGTGCGAAATCCAATATGCTACTCTGTGGAGCACTGAATTTATCATCACCTCTGGGAGAATTAGTTTCTACATCCCAAAACTTTCAGGATGCTGCAGAGCCACGGTTAGCCAGATAATA